TAGATTGGAGTAATGATCGAGGAGGATGGGGGACGTGGGGAAGGGAGGGAGAGAGGAAGGGAGAGGGGAGAAGGGGGGGGGAGGGGGAAGGAGGGGGGGACTGATCGGGTGTGGTGCAGAGCGGGAAGCGGATGCTGCGGCAGTGAGCGGGCAGCAGGCGGCAGTGAGCGGGCAGCAGGCGGCAGTGAGCGGGCAGCAGGCGGCAGTGAGCGGGCAGCAGGCGGCAGTCGGGCCGGGCCGGGCCGGGCCACCTCACGCAGCAGGTTACGAAAGAAAAAACCCCGACCAAGAACATGCTCGCTCGCGCAAAGGCCAAGGCTTCCGCTGCAGGTGACAAGGCCCGAACTGGCAAGGACAAGGGGATTGCCAAGCTGTTGACCACCATCAACAAGCTCCGGCCCATCCTGCGGAGGTAGGCTACCCTAGGGGGGTGCGGGGGGTGCGCGGGGGTGGCCGAAAGGAAGAAAGAGGGCGAACGGAACACGGAACACACTCCAGACAGGCGATGGGGCGAGGGGAATGGGCGGGGGGTGGGGCGGGGTTGGGACACAGCGACTAACGAAGGAGAGATGGGGGTGGGGGATATGGGGGATGGCGGGATTTGGGCATGGGCATGGGCGTGGGTGTGGGCGTTGGGCAGCGGAGGGTACGCCATCGAGGCCGTCCATCTCTCGACGGGTCTGCCGCCGCAGGCCTCGCTCAAGCTGCGCAACGTGGCCGAGGTTGACATGGCGGCGCTGGAGGAGCTGGAGAACAGGCAGGAGCCGCCGCTGACCAAGACCCAGAAGGCGATCGTCAAGATGCTGCAAAAGGTGGAGCGCCTCGAGTCGACGTGCAACGAGAAGGGCTACGACGTGGGTCGCATCGATCTGACCACCGGGCTCATTCCGGAGCTCACCCTCCGTCTCCTCCCGCAGGATCCGTCGCCCGAGGGCGATGAGGCTGCCGCCGCCCAGGACGGCGAGACCATCGACGAGTAAGCTGGCGCACATTGAACTCTCTATCCAGCGCTCTTTACTCGGCTCTCGGGTGTAGAGGGAGGGGCACGAAACAGATCGCCGCCCCCGGTGAGGCTCCGGACCGCACGAGCCGGCACCAGCCTTCCGCCATCACAGATACGTGCCCTCGCGCGACTTGATCCCGCTCATCTGCTCCTTGAACGTCTCCTCCAGAACGGCCACACTCTGGACCAGGTCCGAGAGCGCCTGCTGAAGAGCCGCCGACGGGGTCGACTCGGGCACCGTCTGGATCCGCAGCAGGAGGTAGTTCTCCAGCGGGTGCGGGATCTTGTAGCCGGCAAAGAGCACCTTGTCGTTCTCGAGCAGATTCATCCGGAGCAAGTTGCCCAGCGTGTGGTCCTCACATTGGATAGTGAACGTCGCCGCATTCGGCACCTTGGTGTCCTTCTCCAGCGACAACCTGTCACCGCCAGCCCGTCGCCGCCCCCCTGTGAGCCCCTCCCTGCCGCCTCTCTGCCGCCGGCTGTCCCTCCGCCCCGGGGCGGGCGAGCCATCACCGCACCCGCGCCCTGTCACCACCACACACACACCCTCTCGCTATCACGCGCAAGGCTACTCCTGGTACATGCTCTCTCCTCTGGCCATGCTCCCCCTTGCCGTGCCCATGGCCCTTCCTTGCCGCCCTGCTGCGTACTTTTCCACGCCCTCGGGGAGCACAAACAGCTCGTAGCGCTCAGGCTCGTTCATGGCGACTCGGGCAGTCAAGTGGTGGCGGCTGGACTCGGCTGCCCGGCGCAAACAGCGACTGCTGGCTATTTAATGGTCCGGGATGGGGTCGTCGGCAAGCGGGCGGGTGGTGATCTGCGGGCCGTCGAACCAGCCGCTGCAGAGATCAGCAGGGCTGCCGGCAGAGGTGCCGTGGCCGAGTTGGGCGAGGGCGGCAAAGTGGTCGTCGGCCTGATAGTCATCCGAGGCAAAGGCGGCGCAGCAGGTGGCGTGGTAGAGCGCGTCGGCGGCGTCGAGGGCGGCGCGGTCGGAAGCCTCGGCCAGGTCAATCAGTCTGGCTTGGAGAGGCGGAGAGTCACGGTCGCGGTCCTGGCTGCGCTCGCGGCTACGGACGCGGGCGGCGGCGACAGCGGCGACAGCCGCATCGAACGTACGGCGAGTCTTGACTACCGCAGTATCGAGGTCGACGGCGGCGGCGTCAAAGGACGCAAGCCGACAGGCAGATACACCACGAACGAGCAGAATGCGAAAGTCGCGCGAGCCGGCGTCGGCAGCGTCGTCGGCGGCATCGCTCGCCTTGGCGTACTTGCCCTCGCGAAAGGCAAGGAGCGCAAGACCGAGGTGGGCGCGGGCGGCGAGCGCCGGCGGGGCAATAGCTTTGGAAGCCGACGCCGAGGCGTAGAGGATAACGCGGCGGAAGCAAGCACGGGCAAGAAGCAGATCGCCAACCTCGCCGCTATCCTCGCCGGCAGCCAGCAGCTGCTCGCCGCTCTCCAGAAGCGCGCGGGGCGTCCGGGCCCCAGCCACCGGGCACGAGATCCTGCCGAGAGTGTCCAGCGTCTCAGCCGCCAGCTGCTCACCATCGTCAAGGACAGAGGCAGCGTACTTGAGCCCAGCCTCGACGGTGCCGTAGCGGGCGGCATCGGCAGCGTAGGCCGCGTCGAGCGCAGCTTCGCGCGCAGCCTCCATCTCCCACACCGCGCGCTCCTTCCGCCTCAGCAGCTCGGCCTCGCGCGCCACGATACGAAACGGCCGTGCCCGCGTCCCGCCCATTCCGGCCCGCCATGCCTCGTAGTCGCGGAACGAGACTCGCGATCGCGCCGTCTGACCGATGTCTGTCTATCGTTCGTCTATCTGTCGTCTCCGTCAACGGCCGCCGTCGGCGGCCGAAGCCGGTCCGCCCGGCCGCCACCGGCCGCGCCCGGGACAGT